GGGAGAAGAGGGAGGGGTGTTGACCGCACAGGAAGGCAGTGTGCTGATTAGAGAGGTACACATATGGCAAAGAAAGCTCTTCGATTTGACACTCAGGTGCCTTATATTTTCAGTTTATTTCCACGCCGAAAAGGTAAGCTGTTAAAAGTGATCATGCTTTTCCTTTTTATTATTTTTAGATTATTTAACGCCAGATGAAATAAATGAAAAACTTCTATTTTATAGTAACTTCCATGGTGTGATAAATCGGGTAGAGCATTTTCATGCGATACATTTTATAATTTTGATTTTTTTTAATTCAGACGTATTAAGGAATTTAACTAATTAGATAGGGATAAAAATTAATTTTCAAAATTGAGTCTATACGGACAAAATCAGTGTTAAAGTTATCTTCGTTATTATTTTTTTTAAAAATCAAAATTTTAAATAATTGTGAATACATACAGATCAGAGGCGAAACACATTCCTCATAGTACCAGACGATTGATTGGGACAAAATGAATATTGCATTCATAAAAGATGCATATAAATCCCTTGCTTTTTATTATTATTTTTTAGGGGGACTGGGTACGTATTCACCGTGGCTTACCGAAAATCATCCTCAAGCGACTCTGACTAATTCAAGAAAATCTTTTTAATATTTAATTTTGACCAAAGAATCATACAATTCGATGAAAACCCAGGGAATCGATATTTCATTTGCAAAAATCAATTTTGATTCTCTGCTTGACTATGATATGATTATTTTCTTAATTTAATGTATTATTAATTATTTAATTTATTAGTTATATTATTTATAGATTTATTCTTTTCCTACGACTATTTAATATTTCTTTTGATGATGAAAAACTAAGGGATAAGACTTTCTTTTATCTTTCTTGGTTAAAATAATCTTATTCAAGTTAACAAAACGAAAAAGAAACTCGGAATACCTCGGTAGTTTCTTCCTGTAGTAAAGATAAAAAGCGAGGGTTTCCGAATATACACGATAAACGCAAAACACGATAGAACCTGATAAACGATCTACACGATAAACGGAAAACACGATAGAAAACGCAAAACACGATAAACGGAAAACACGATACGATAGGATACGATAGGATACACGCACGATAGGACACGATAGATTTGTAAAGAATAATGATGCAGATACTGTAAAATGTTTTGTTTATACTTGCTATTGTTTTTTCAATCATCCAAAGAGACTTTATTTCAATCGACAAGTGATAATTAAGTGATCAGAATTTAATTGGTGTGAAAAATCAAACAAGATTCGAAAAAGTATGGACCTTTCTTAAACTTAAAGGCTTTTAGAAATGAACAGTTAAGATCATAAGCTTTACCGTATGCATTCGCCGATCAAAGATATTCCTACCAAAACAAATGTTTTTGCATCAAAAATTGACAAGGGGTCATTTTTCTACGGCGTCATTTTTCTACAACGCACACGGAGAAAAACGACCCCATGGCCATACAAAAAGTGGGTCATTTTTCAATGTAGAATATTGACCAGGGGGTCACATTTCAACGTAGAAAAATGACCCCCAATCAAAATTCTACGGAGGTCATTTTTCGTCCATACACCGGCGCCATTTTTGATTTTACGAAAAAATGTTGGGCACCATAAACTTAACTTCTCTTGAGCCCTAGTCGAACCCACAAATTAAGTTAAAACACCTGACAAATTTATGTCATCAAATTTTATAACACAATCCCTTTATCATCTTCGATTGTCAACTCTGTCTTTTTTCCTCAATCTTTTTTACGCAATATATTGATCAAAAGTCGATAAAAACATGCTGTATGACACTCGCTGAAACCATTTCAGAACTAGATCTCCGAAATAATATGAAAGACTGTACTCTATGTAAACATTCCACTTACTGGCATTGCGTCTGTTAACTTGCAGCCGATTGGTGAGTAGAAATGGTCTTTAAAAGTTTAGTTTGCTCAAATTTTTTCTTTTGTTACGTCATTTCTATGGTGAGTTTTATAAACATACAGAATTCTGACTTCATTGTCGGAGTAATTATATCACATAAATTAAAATGTGACATCACAGTATGTGTATATTTTTCTGATCTTTCCAATGATATCACACTCAATAATTTCCGCTAAGGGGTTAATATTTAATTACACATTTCTCAGAACTTCTTTTTTTGGCAAATGACTAAAGGAGACATCTGTTAACTTGATTTTGTAATGTTAAAATTACTTCATTTAAATGCCTAAGAGATGCTGCTCGTTTGCGCTGTTTTACCAAGTAATGACATATATTTTATTTTATATATTTATCTAGGCGAATACCATGCTCACTTTGTAAACTTATTTCTTATTAGATTATTTCAATCAAATGAGTATGGTTCTAATGTTTTGAAAAGGCTTTTGTTGAGCACTCTTTTGTATTTCGTATTCCTGGTTGGCGTATTTTTAAAAAACTCAATCCAATTGCAAAGAAGATTTGTGTATAAATACAATGAAACCTGTCTAATTCGACATTCACTGGGAGACAAATGTGTCAAACTAGACAGAGTGTCGGATTGCTCAGTGTTGAAAACAAGGAAAATACTAAAATGTGAAAAAAGTAACGTCGGAATTCACAGTGTGTTGGGTTATTCATGTGTCGGATTAAACAGTTTTTACTTTACTCATGTCCCGCCAGCCAGTATCAACTCCTCAAGGCCGTGCTTTTCAAAATGGTATTTGCTTTTTGTAATATATTTCTTATTTATTGCTTATGTTATTTTCATTTTCTATCAATTTGACGTTATATTTTTTTTAATAGGTGGATTAATTTATGCATATTATTTTCTAAGAAATCACACCATCGCCGTTTGTTTACTGTTATATAATAAAGATACGTGGCCTGGTGTTGTCCTTCTGCTCGGCTACATCTGGTATTCTTTGCAAATCATGCAGATCAGTTTTACGGAGATAACTAATAACCTAAAAAATTAAACCTCGACAGTATATTACCTTTATTAGTTACTCAAGTTAAAAATAAAATGAATATAGTAAAGGAGTTATCCGATGGTTTTCTGAAATTATACTGCATCATATTGTATTTCAAACGTAATTTTAAACTTTGTACAACATATTTCTGAAAAAAAAACCCATAATATTCAACATTAGAACTTGATAAGCAATACTAACATGATGTGCAACACTAAAACAAATGAACAATACTTATCCATGAAACCAATACTAACATAGCTTTATCAGAAAAGAAAAATTGATGTGTAAATCACATAGGCGTACACAAATGCATATTTTCTTGGGGCGCTACAGCTTTTCATGAAACATGCCTTCATGACAAATCTTTATACTATATAAACACCACTAATGCACACAAAACTCAAAAACGTTTCTTGAATAATAACACTCAGATTGGTTTAATTTTACGTTATAATGATGATTCGTGAACATATTGAAATTAAAGCCATCACCGTGTCAACAATTTCTCTTACTCCCGAATCACCATTCTCCCTTCTACTGCCTCGAAAATTCTTCATCCAACATGTTTCTTCAAAACTCTTAAAACTATATTGCATCCATGGATATATTTCTAAGAAATGAGAAATTGCCATCATCAGTAAACAAATATACGTTCCGTTAACTGCGAGAGAAAAATTTAAAAATTTCTTGCATTGACCAATATGTTCATAACCTTGTTCTCATTGAACCATGGCCTAAAACTGAAATGATTGTACATTTCAACAGTGGTGTGAGTCGATATATGATTCTAAACCTCTTATCACTTAAAAAATAATTTAGATGTAGCGTTTAAGTTCAAAAATATGCCATGGTGGCCTAATTATTGGCTGACACCTTTCGATGACCAAATATGCATCAACTGATAAAGTTGATAATCTAAGATACCAGTAATTAGTATACGAAATAAAGAATAAACCCATTAAATTCAAAAAGAAATCGACCATGACCATCTCTTTTAATGGCAGACTTTAAGACTCCATAATCCTTAAACTGACAAGGGTTTTTATGATCATTGGCTACAGAGTGAACAAGATATGCATAAAAATTATCAATACCTGTAAACAGTCAAACTGATCTTTTTTTCAGACAATGCGATTTGAGATCCTAAGATTCATCAACTAACAAAATTTTATTATCCTAGTCCTTGAAATGATCCTAATACTTAAAAATGGCAAAATATCAAAGCTTTGAACAGAAGGTAAGGTCAATATTGAAGTTATCTTGAGAATAGGCCCTTTGTCCTTTGCCCTATGGTGATGTTTTTTTTTTCACATCTACAACATGCACTCATCCTAATATGATATTTATAGATAAGTTTTGTATGAATTTGCCTAATTATTCTCGAGAGGGATTTTTTTTACTTCATCCTACTTATATTTTCATTTTCAACAAATCGCTTCTTGTTTAAAGGTTTATTCATATTTCCAATATGATTATAATCCTCTGACAAATTTGACAAATTAACATGACGGAATCCAGACCCATGCAATTTTTCAGTATGTCAGGTTCATTACCTTTCATTATCTCTATCAAATTTCATTTCATCTCATTTCTTTAAAAACCACACGTGTCTCTGTTACCTTGCAAAATCAACTTTACTATCAGCTCTTATGTCACTTGCGTTGTGAATTTTGACACTTTAAGTTTTTATTAATTATCCCAGCCTTATTTTTCTACTAATGCATTATAAAAATAATGAACACTCAAGCATAGGTGGATCTTCAGAATAGTAATTGATACCTCGTGTAAATTTTCGATTCTATAAGAATGATTGCAAGTAGAAAAATAATTCCCATGTATATATATCATAAAATTAAGCCATGCAAGATGAATCTAGCAGATCTTTTGCGATACGCATTTTTCCACCCTCAGATGTGCACCAAGGAATTCTTGAAAATAAAAACTATCCCCCTTTATAGCAGCTCATTCAGTACACAGAAAAATGAAAAATATACTATTTTTCATTCCCGTTCATCGTTACATAGTGTTGCCAGTTGTGTGCATATCTGACTTACATTGATGTTTGTAGAAACTGTGTTTATCCTCAAATGCGATTGTCATTGGTGTATGATAAATGCTTTGTTAAAATAAATATCTGATCCTGCGTCTTTTAGTTTTATATGTCCACCCCCACATGCTGCAGTCAGTGATGTATCATTCTCACCTTGCTGATTGATAGCAGCTTCGGCTTCTATTAGCTTCTTCACTACACTCATATGTCCACCCTTACTTGCTACAGTTAGTGGTGTATCAAACTCATCTTGCTGATTGATATCAGCTTCGGCTTCTAGTAGCTGCTTCTCCTTCACTACACTCATATTTCACCCCCACATGCTGCAGTCAGTGGTGTATCATTCTCACCTTTCTGATTGACATCCGCTCCGACTTCTATTAGCTCCTTCATAACACTCATATGTCCATCCTTACTTGCTGAAGTCAGTAGGGTATCATACTGACCTTGCTGATTGATATCAGTTCCCAACTCTAGTAGCTCTTTCACAACACTCATATGTCCATCCTTACATGCTGTTGTCAGTGGTGTATTAAACTTACCTTGCTGATTGATATAAGCTCCGGCTTCTAGTAGCACCTTAACTACACTCATGTGTCCACCTTTACATGCTGCTGTCAGTGGTTTATAAAAGATACCTTTCTGATTGACATCAGCTCCGGCTTTTATAAGCTCCTTCACAACACTCATATGTCCCTCCTTACATGCTGCTGTCAGTGGTGTATTAAGCGTACCTTGCTGATTGACATCAGCTCCGGCTTTTATAAGTTCCTTCACTACACTCAAATGTCCACGCTCACATGCTGCTGTCAGTGGTGTATTAAGCGTACCTTGCTGATTGACATCAGCTCCGGCTTTTATAAGTTCCTTCACTACACTCATATGTCCCTCCTCACATGCTGCTGTCAGTGGTGTATAACACTTACCTTGTGGATTGACATCAGCTCCGGCTTTTATAAGTTCCTTCATTAAACTCATATGTCCCTCCTCACATGCTGCTGTCAGTGGTGTATAAAACTTACCTTGCTGATTGACATCAGCTCCGGCTTTTATAAGCTCCTTCACTACACTCACATGTCCCCCCTTACATGCTGCTGTCAATGGTGTTTCATTTTTACCTTGCTGATTGATATCAGCTCCGGCTTTTAGTAGTTCCTTCACTACACTTATTTGCCCTCCCTCACATGCTGCTGTCAATGGTGTGTTAAATTTATCTTGTGGATTGATATCACCTCCGGCTTTCAGTATGTGCTCTACTATGCTTAAATGACCGCCCTTATATGCTGCTGTCAGTGGTGTATCATACTGACCTTGCTGATTGATATTAGCTCCGGCTTCTAGTAGCTCCTTCACTACACTCATGTGTCCACCTTCACATGCTGCTGTTAGTGGTGTATCAAACGTCCCTTGCAGATTGATATCAGCCCCGGCTTCTATTAACTCCTTCACTACACTCATATGTCCACCCCCAGATGCTGCTGAGAGTGGTGTATCATCCTCACTTTGTTGATTGATGTCAGCTCCTCTCTCCATAAGCTCCTTCACTATACTAATATGTCCAGCCCCACATGCAGCTGTCAGTGGTGAATCATAAAACATATATTGCCTTTTCTTGTTTGTTGTTTGTATATCAACATACTTGATTAACATTCTTACAGTCTCTAAATCTCCACTATAGCAACTCAATAAAAATAGACGACCATGTTCAGAAACAGACAGCTCATTGTCCTGTTTTTGATTTCTTGCATTACTATTGGAGTCAAATAAATATAATTTATCTCGTTCAATGTCATTCTCTTTCTCTTTTGCTCCATAGATTGACTTGGGGCTAAAGGAATTCAAAAAAAGATCAATAAATGTTTCTTTGTGTAAATCGGTTTGTTCCAAAATATATCGAAGGATCTGACTGTGACCGTAGCAAACCACCCACATAATAACTCTCACACTGTATGTATTTTCTATTATACCTCTTTCATTCACCAACACCTCCTGTCTGCACCACTCTTTGCTCCTCTTATCCCTCTGAATACTCTCTTTTGCTACATGAAATCCTTTACTCACCACATTAGACACATCTTCCTGTTCTGACAGAAATAAAGATTTCAACTCTGTGTAAGTCTTTGTTTTTAACACCTCTATAAAAGCCTCGCATACCTTAGGATGTTTTAAAACATTATTCATAAAAACATCATACAGTTCCATATTTTCTATATCGCTATATAAGCGCTTTGCTAATATCGGATAATGACCTTCTCTTAACCTTATACAGAGATCAAATGACACAGTTCTAGCACTACCAGAAACTTTTTGCTCTTCGCCACTTGGTTTTTCACCCCCACAGACTTTCATTTTGTTAGCAATGTAACTACTGCTAATATACTGCAAAATCAGATCTGGACACTGACAACCAAAATGATAAGCAATGATTTCAAACATAGAGTCGTGAATAAAGGTATACTCAGAGCCACAAAGCTTTGTGTATGTCCTCTCCATTTCTATTAATGCATCAACAAATTCAAAGTTTTCCGTTTGACAACTGACTTTACATTTCCGAAGAATGTTTTCTTTCATTTCATTGAAGTTTTTAATAACCTCTTTCTTTTCTGTTCCTTCAAGGATATTTTTCGATATTTTGTTGTCATTCATCATGCACAAAACCAAAGAAACATAATGGATTCTATTTTGCTTTTTCACTTTTTCCAGTTCCTTTAAAAGACACGGAACTGGATTTTCAAAAAATACAGATCCATACAACTGGAATTTCTTTTCCGTTGAAAACAGTTTGCAAAGATAAGGAAACATTTTTGATGCAGATTTCAAATTTGCAGGACACAACAGATTTACGTCGATGTTGTATTTTTTCAGAATATTTTCTTTGTCAGAGTTAGTTAATGCATTAGCTTCACTATGTAACAGAACAATATTGTTTTCATCCTTAAAAAATGATTGTGATTCAATTGCTTTCCTGTACACAGCTTCTCTGCATGTCATGAGAGTTTTTGACTTTGACATAAACGGATTCGATATTCTATGCTGGTAATCGTAGAAAAGGTTAAATTTTGTCTCTTGAAGTCCAAATACACCTACCACATCATCAATGACAAAAACCTGTGGATTACAAGGATCACAGTATTGCTTTATCTCTCTTATTTCATTCATAGGTACAACCTCATATCCTTCATGTTGTAACATCAGGGCAATGTGACGAGATGTCGCTGTTTTTCCAGATCCTGGGACACCAACAAACGTCACATGAGTCTGATTTTTCACCTTTTCCAGCATAGCAGGGAAGTTATGGCATTCGTGGAAAACTTTATCATCTTCTTCCCACTGTGACACTTCATTTTTATGAATAACTGCAATCGAAAGAAAATAAACTTTTAGGTTGAATCAATGTAACATATTTCGGTTTCTGAAGTTACAAACCATGGTATTGTTGAGTGAATGACAACTTAGTCTATCTATGAAAGGATATAGAAAGGCATATAAAAACTATACAGGTACCATGTATTTTAAATGTTAGATTTTGAATGTTAAAGTAAAATGTTAAATATAGAAGACGTAGATTTTTTAAAAAAAGTTTCAATTTTTGTTGACACATGTAGTTGCTCATGTATTTCAGTAAACAGATATCAATATGTTTAAGGTGGAGTAACATACTGAGCATATAAATTATAGTTACATTTTTAGTTTGGACTTATTAATGTTTCAATATTTTGTTTGAATTACAATTAATTATCAGTACAGTACTTTTAAATCCGAATTTAATCGCAAACTGATGGAAATTGGATTTTATTTATATATTGCATGCTGTTGTGAATGGCATTGAAAAATTTTACCCGAAGAAAACCAATGCCAACCAAGGTACCACAAAGGTTTACAAGGGGTAGAATTTTCGATGTTTCCCTGAACTTCATACAACAAGGCCTTCACCGGCATACGGTGACGTCTCCATATGAGTGAAAAATTCTCGAGAGGGACGTTAAACAATATACAATCAATCAATCAATCATACAATATTTTTGTTATTATACTGAAGGGTATGGAGGTAACGAACAATATTGTAGTGCTTTTAGCTGTCGGCACCACAAATATCGCCAATATATAGCGAATAAACAACAAACACGAGCTGGCCACAAAATGTGCTTGTATTCTGTGTACAGTATAGCCCGCGTAATGTCACGGGAGATTACTAAAAAAGAACACTGTAAAAATAGAAATAAAAGAAGTCTATAAAACTAGTCCATTTTCACCACACTGCCCCCCTCTAGGCTCCTTTAAGTCCACTAAAGGTTAAGCCGACTTGGGCGACGTATTTCACGGCCAGCTCGAGTCCGCAGTGGCCTCGATTCTTGTCCAGCAATAATCTCCTCTGGTGCCTCCAGGGAATCACCCGAGTCCATGATTTCTTGGTTGGGCGCTCTGTCTGTTTTACTGTTCACTTCATCTTGACATTCCTGTATGGTTTCCAAGTCGTTCTCTTCTGGGAGATTAAACCTGTTGACCCAGCCGGGTACGAAATCAGAGGTATATGCCTTAAGACGATCATGATGAATCACAGCCGACTTTTTGCGTCCTTGTACCTCGTACAAAACAGGCCCGTATTTCTTTTTGACGATAAAAGGCCCCTCCCAAACAGATTGCAACTTGGGCGACTTACCCACCTGTTTTGCCATTTTGTTGACATACACCAAATCACCTACTCCGTATTGCTTACTGGAAATGCGCAGATCATAAAGACGCTTTTGCTTTATCTGCGCCTGCTGAAGTGATTTCCGCGCAACATCATGAGCTGTGCTCAGAGCATGTTTAAGCTTCTCGATGTATGTTGGGGTATCGGTGGGTCTCGAATTGTCTCTGGATCCTTAAAAACTAGTTCGGCCGGTTGGTGTACCTCTCTACCCAACATCATAAAGTTTGGGGATATTCCTATGGCTTTGTGTGGAGTGCTTCGGTATGCAGAAAGTAAGAGAGGCAACTGTTCATCCCAAGTTTTCTGCTCTTTGTCGACATAACAGCGGATCATTTGCAAAACTGTCCTATTGAAGCGTTCAACCTGACCATTAGAGGAAGGATGATAAGGTGTGGTCCTTGTTTGAGCAACTCCTAGTAATTTGCACACAGTCCTGAACAGGTCACTTTGGAAATTTCTGCCCTGATCAGTATGGATCTCAAGAGGGGCGCCAAACCTAGCTATGAACTCCTCCACAAGCTTTCTTGCTGTTGTCTCACTGCACTGGTCAGGGAAAGCATACGCCTCAACCCATTTTGTGAACTGGTCAGTTATTACCAGAATGTACTTATTGCCACTTGAACTTGCAGGGAATGGGCCAAGTACATCAATATGCAAACGATCTAGTGGAGCACCATAAATGAAGGACTGCATTGCTGCTTTGCTTTTACGAGCTCTCTTTTCCATACCACATGTGGCACAACTTGATACATAGTGCAGGGCATCTGCTGTCAGACCATACCAATAGAAGCTGCGTTTTACCCTGTCCAGAGTTCTTCTTTCACCTTGGTGTCAAGAGTATGGTGGATCATGACAACTCTCTATTACTTTCCTCCTGAGTGATTTTGGCACAAACAGTCGCAGTGACCGTGTGTCTGAATCATGCAACCATTCGTAGTGGAGTATACCATTGACAAGACAAAACTGCTGAAGATTGAGGAAATAACTCCTAGCTGCTGGGCCAAGGATTCTTAAGTCGCAGGACTCCGGTTTGTCATGTAACAACCAACTGGATACTAGTTGCGCTTCTTTGTCCTCAGATTGTGCGGTTTTTAAATCCTCCTTTTCCAACCAGTTACAGGTAGCAGGTTCAGAGGGTGTTACTTCACGAACTGTCAACGGTACAATATAATCAACGTCCTCTGTAAATCTCTCCCACTGCTCTTCAACTCTCTGGCAGTATGCACACCCACCACAAGGTAACGACTTAGAGCAAGTCCCAGCACTGTAACAATCACAAGTTGTCGTATCTAGCCGAGATAAGGCGTCTGCATTGCCATGAGATTTTCCTGCTCGGTGCTGAATGACAAAAGAATACTGACTCAATTCCTCGAGCCACCGAGCCAGTTGACCTTGAGGTGATTTGAAGCGGAATAGCCATGCCAAACTGCTGTGGTCAGTCCTGAGGAGGAATTTTCTGCCTAAAAGATAATGCTTGTACTGGTGACAAAAGGCAACCACTGCCAGTAATTCTCGTCGAGTGACACAGTACCGCTCCTGTACAGGTCCTAGGCGTCTGCTGGAGAAAGAAATCACCTTTTCAACACCATCCTGTTCCTGAGAGAGGACCGCTCCAATGCTGAAATTGGAGGCATCTGTGTCTAGAATCATTGTACCCTTAGCAAGTGGGTAAGCAAGGACTGGAGCTGAAGTAAGTGCAATTTTTAGCTCCTCAAACGCTGTCGCCTGTTCTTCACCTCATTGGTATGGTACACCTTTGCGTGTGAGGCTGTGTAATGGACGAGCTATATCAGCGTACCCTTTCACAAATCTGCGATAGTAGTTCGTCAACCCTAAAAAAGCTTGGATCTCCTTAAGACTTCCTGGAATAGGCCATCTCTGCACATCTTGAATCAGCGAGGGATTTGCTCGAATCCCATCTTTACTTACAACGTGACCCAAAAATATGACCTCCTCTTGGAATAAGCTGCATTTTTTAGGCTTTAACTTAAGTCCAAATTCTCGAAATCGGAGGAACACTTTTCTCAGATTACTTAGGTGCTCATGAAATGTACTCCCCGTGATGATTACATCATCTAGGTAGATAAGAAGGATGATCCATTGAAGTCCTCTTAAAACCAATTCCATTCCTCGTTGGAAGGTAGAGGGCGCATTGCAGAGCCCGAAAGGCATTCGTGTGTACTCAAACAAGCCATGCCTGGTAATAAATGCAGTCTTAGGTCTGTCACTTTCAAGAACTTCAAACTGGTGATACCCACTCATAAGGTCAAGTGTGGAGAACAGTTTGGAACCCCCTAAAGTGTCCAGACACTCCTCAATCTTAGGTAGGGGATATGCATCTTTCTGTGTGACTTCGTTTAGTTTCCGATAGTCCACGCACCAGCGTACTCCACCATCCTTTTTGCGGACTAACACTACAGGAGATGCCCATGCAGAGCTTGAGGGAACTACCACGCCATTTTCCAACTGTTTTTTTCAAATATTCAGCTTCTTCACTCTGGAAACTTAGAGGTGTTCGTCTCGCAGGTTGTCTGATAGGTTTTGCTCCATCGGTGTTGATTTGGTGCTTAATTGCAGTAAAAGTGCCAAGATCATAGTCCTCTCTCGAGAAAATATCCTCAAATTCAGACAGTAAGCTGACAAGTGCTTGTTGATCCGATTTAGTCATATTCTTAGATGATTTCTCTGCCAGCTCTACTAGATGGGCTGGTACAGTTCCATCTTCAGCTTGTCTGCTTATCGTTTCTTCAACAGTGACTTCACTTTGATGTACTGCATCTACACTTACTGCATCAGCATCCTCACTGACTTCTGTCAACTTCCCCAAATGGGTTCCCTTAGCAAAGCGAATTTTCTTATCTCTGACATTTAAAACCCGAACAGGTACTTTGTCCTTCATATTGACTAAGCAAGATCCAACCAAAACACCATTAGGAAGATTATCATTGCAACTGTCTAAGACAGACAATAGACCACTTTGGGGTACTTGTACTCTTCCAACAATAATCTTCTCACTCTGAGGAGGTATCCAACAGCTTTCATCGACCATTACAGAGCTGCAAGCTGGGTAACTGTTATCACAGCTCAGGGTTCCAGATATTATTTCTTTTCCAATGCGAAGGTTACCTTGACCTGTGAATATAACAGCTTCTAGGGAGTTGAGAATATCCATTCCAATCAAAACAGAATCCCGTATTGGTGCAACATATACTGGCCAGTGGGTTGATTGGCTGCCAGTTTGGATTGTCGCAGTGACACCTCCAAATGCAGTCATCTCTGCACCATCTTCCGCATTCATGAGTCGAACTTGCTTGCAGTTACTCGTAACAATCCCTGCCTCTTGGGCAATGGCTGAAGAGACAATAGTAGCATCCGCACCAGTATCCACAACACCTTTGGTCTGGACATCATTCACAAAGACAGGGACTACGATTCCTTTCCCAGCTCCATGAAGCCTTGTGCACTTGATTTGTTCTGCTGTCTTTGATGTCTCTTCCTTTACTGTTGGCATTTTCTGTTCCTGCAATTTTTTGATTGTTTGGGGTCGAGATTTGCAGTCACTTTTGAACTGCCCCGTCTATCCACATTGAAAACATCTACTTTCTATATCCTTAAGTAGGTGGTCTCGTTTCATTCTCTCTTTCTCCTGGTTACGTTTCAGTT